AAGGCATATATAATTTATATTTGGGAGATCAAAAAATAGATGGGCAATTTATAGTTTTAGCCAATAATGTAGATTATAGAAAATGTGAAATCATTTTATCAGAAAAGATAAATACTCTCACATTATATCAAACAATAAAATTTATAATAAAATTAAGAGATCATTTGAATAATATTTATGGGGATATTGAGTATAAATTAAATTAAATTTAACCTGCTGTTGAAACAGAGAATAAATTTTCAAATGAAATAGTAAAATTAATTGGACCAAATAAAGAAGGTATTATTATTATTAATATTACATTCGCTTAAAAAGAAGATATCGAACATCAACCTGAAGATGTTAAAATAAATATTTCTTTATTAGAAAAACTAAAATAATGTATTTATTTATTTAAATAATTATAGCATATACTTTCCATTTGGAAGGATTAAATTTAGAGATGAGAATAATAAAATATTATTAAAAACTAAAACTTCCAAAAGTATTTAGAGAATTAACAATCGACAGAAATAAATTTGGATCAGATATATTAAAATTATCAAATTCAAATTTTAAATGTCCACTTAAGATTAAATTTAAAGGTGAGGAAGGAAGTGATGATGGAGGATTAAGAAGGGAATTTTATAATAAAATAGGAGAAATGATAAAAAGTCCTCAAAATGGATTTTTTTAATAAAATACAAAGAGTTAAACATATTTTTATTCACCTAAATTTAATTTAGATAAAAATAGAGATGGATATGCTTTAGTATTTGGAAAAGTATTAAATATTTATTAAATTATTTTAGTTAATTGCAAATTCATTATTAAATAAGGAAATTATAGGAGTACCATTTGCTCATTAATTTTGGAAATTAATATTTAATCAACCAATTACTTTTGAAGATCTTGATGGTATAATGGATGAGAATGAATTTTCAAATTATAAAAGTTTAAAGTACATGACAAAAGAGGAATTAGAAATGCTTGAAGTTAATTTTACTATCATTAAAGCAAAAGACACAATTTAATTGATAGCTGGTGGTGATAAAATATTTGTATCAATTCATAATAAAGATACTTATTTATAAAGAATAGCAGAGTATTATATTATAGAAAGATTTTAACAAATTACAAAAAAAATAATTGAGGGTTTCGATTCAGTCTTAGATAAAAAAGTAAATATATACTTTATTTTAAAGCTTTTAATAGAATGTTTTGATTTTACAGAAATGCATACATTAACTGTAGGATCTGATGAAATTTAACCTGATAAAATTTTGGAATTGGTAAAATATTAAAATGGTTCTGATTAACTCATTTCATTTTTCTAGAAATTCATCAACTAATTAGAAACTGAATAATTACATGATTTTCTTTAATTCACAACAGGATCTCCTTATTTACCATGGAATTCTAAACCTACAATATAAATTGAATTTTAAGAATCTATGAAAGAAACCAATTTACCAAGATCACAAACATGTTTTTATAAATTAGCAATTCCATATTATAAGACTTATGAAGAATTTAAGAAGAAAATGGAAATAGCAATTGAATATGGATAAGAAGGATTTGGTTAATTTTGAAATGTATAAATATAATTTTAAATGTTATTACAATTTTTTATAATTAAATATGGATTAGGAATCATAAAATAAATAAGATATCTAAAATGTATAGAGATATATTTTTTTTTAAAAGAATAAGATATTTTAATTTTCTATTATTGTATTCCTTTTTTGTATAATTCTAATAACTATTCATTAATAAAAAAATTTTACTATATCTATTTATAAATATATATATTTTTAATAAAATAGAAGATTCATATATTTAATCATTGTATATATATTTTTTATCCATAAAAATAAGTTATATTTTTATAAATATAATAAAAAATACTGTTTCTCTTTTAATATTCCTATGCACTAAAATAAAAACAATTTTAAGCCTGTTTTACCAAAATTAAAAATTCCAAGCTAATCTAAATAATTACTAAGTTCTCCTTAGAGATCAAAATTTAATGATGAGAGAAAATTAGAAACAATTGTCGAAAAACGGAATTTTTAAAAGTAATTGATTGATTTAGTTACTACTTTACAAGATGATGCTTAGTAAAGTATAATGAATTCTGGTTTTTCAAGAAATGATCTCTTAAAACATTATAAATAATTACCATCAAAACCTACATTATTATTTGAGAAGGCATTAAAAGGTCTTCATCCTTTATAGTAAAGTGAATATAGAGGTAAGGAATTAAAGAAATTGGAAAAGAAGGTTTAAGTTATAAATGAAAGAAATCCATTATAGGAGTCTTGGAAATCACCATTTTTATCATAACCTAGATTATATAAATCTTCTAGAACTGATAATGACACTTTGTCATAAGAAATAGAATAAAATGCATAAAATGTAGTGTTGATAAATGAAAATTTAAAAGGTTTTGGTCCAAGATTAAGAACATATTTGGATTATGATAAAAATACTAGATTTGAGAGATAAAAAGGGAATCCTAAATATTTATATAGAGAGAATTTAGTGAGATTGATAAAAAATAATACAACAAAAGAATTGGATCTAGTTAAGGAATGGAATATATTAATAAATTATGATAAATTAGTTGTATATGCTGGTTTCCAAAGACCAGAAGTTAGACTATAATAATTTGGTACAATCTCATCAATTAGCCATTATTAAAGTATTTAAGATTTTCATAAGAAGTAACTTAAATCAACAAACAATTAACCTACTCCAAATTCATAGATATCCCCTTAATTTTTAATTAAAAATTCAAGATAAAGTAATTCAAGTGAACCAATAGATTTTGGTAAATCTAATTAAATGGTATTGGATGTATCAGAAGTTGAGAAGATTTAGGATGATATTTCAATTAAAAAGGATACATTTTTAACATATTGTTAAGTATTTTGGGATTTAATAAGAAAGGAGGATGAAATTGTAGAAAGAGTTGTATGGGCATTTTGTAAAAATGATTTAATGACATTCACTTCTTTTAAACATTTTTATAAATTGATTGTATTTTAGGAAGGTACATTTGAAGAATATATTAAATTAACATTTGATTTTTTTATGGGATCAGAAAGAAATGAAATTCCATTTACAGAGATTTAAGGTTTGTTAAGATTATTGGCTTAGAGAATAGATGGAAAAGATCATATTTTAAGTGATCAAATATTAATGGATATTGTAAGTTAAATACATAGACCATAAGTAATCTCTAAAGAAACCTTGTAGTAATTAATTTTTGAAGATAAGATCCCTCCAACAGTGATAGTAAAAATGATGTATGAGTAAGCATGATAAAAGTGTGAATTATTAATTTTTATATTAACGACTACATTCAATGTATCCACAATTACAAAAAGAAGAGCTAGTAGAATTTCGTAATTATATTCGAGAAGTAACATCTGCAAAGATAAATAAAACGTTAGATAAGACTCCAAAAAGAAACAATGCTTAAAAATAATTGGAATTTATTCTTAAAAGTACATAATTACGATAGACTGTTTAAAAACCTGAAAACACTTAATAATAAATATAAAGAATTAATTATGAATCATAATCATACATACCAAGATCATCATCTCAACCTTTTGTTCATTTTGATTCAAATTGTTGGAAAGAGACATAAAATTCATTTACAAAATAATAAACAGCATATGTAAGTGTATCAGAAATGTTGAGAATTACAAATGGATTTAATTAGATGAATAAAAAAGATATAAGTGGATTGAATTCTAAGTATTAAAAATTATAATTTAGTTATTTATAATCCTTGCATGAATTAGATTTGACAATAACAGCCCTTCTAAAAAGAATTGATTGATCTAACTTATTTATAATAATCACTTCATGATTTCAATATATTATATTCTAAATTCAAAAATAGATTTATTAAATATACATTAATTTCTTTATTATTTCAGCCAAAAGATCTCTTCTAATTATCACATCAAATTTATTTACTAATATATATATATATATATGGATATTGTATTATATTTGATTTATTTTGATATATTAATATAAAATCATAAAATATACTTGAATATATGATAACATTATTTTTAGATTAAAGAGAATCATAAACAGGAATATAATGTTAAGATATTTATTTATGAAGAAATATTTAAAAAATTAATATTTGATATATTTATATAGATAGCATAATATGAATTACTTAATTATTGATATAATATATATATTTTTATAAATCAAATATATATAAATAAATGGATGAGGAATTTAAATAAAAGTATAGTTTTGCAGCACTTCAAAAATATGTATCAGAGAAAGAGAAAGATAAGGATAAAGCAATTTTTAAGTTATGGAATGGAATGAATTTAGATGAATTAGGCATGTCTGTGTAAGATAATAAGTATGATTTGATTACATTAGATTACCTGGATAACCTACAAAGATTATTTCACCATTTATTGATGATAATGCTACTCAACCAGATCCTCTTTCAAAGCCTCATGATTGGATTAAACAAAAATTAATGCCTCGTTAGAATAGTGTGAATAGAAAGAAAGAGATGTTCAGTTAATTTTCTGAAGAAACTAATTTCTATATATTTTATAATGTTATGGATGAAGAATAATAATTATGGGCTGTAGAGAATCTGTAATAATTTATTATATATTTAGTTATACGAGAGGATGGAGGTATAATTTAAGGAAAGAGTAATGGTTTAAGGATTTATAGTTGATAAACAAGAATTTATATTCTGGAAAGTATTTTAGTATTGCAAACTGGAGAATAATGGAGAGTTCATAAATTGATATGCAAGAATAAGATTTATGCACACTTGAATAATTCTTCAATAATTAAAATTAATGAATTTTATTGAATAATTTCAGAAGATTAAATGTACAAAGCATCCATAAGCACCAATTTCTAATCTATGTCTAAATCAAGAGTGTAAGGAAGAATAATACTTTTGTCAAAATTGTATTAAAGCCCATTTAACTCATTCAACTCATATTATTTATATGAAATAAATAGATAAGTTACTTAAACGTCATACTAATGTTAATGAAATAATATAGGATAAATAGGGATTGGAAGCTTTTAATATATTTAAAAGTTTTAAACATGCAATTGAAGATAAATTAAATTAACTTGAAGATGAATTGAGATAATTAATATTGAAATTAGTTAATGATTAAAAAATAAATGATTATGGATATAAGTTTCTATAGAGTCTCAATTAATTCAATGAATAAGACATAAAAGAATTGAGATTATTCTTAATCAATCAATAATAAAACATTTAAAATAATCAAATCCATTTAAAAGAAAAAGAGAGTAAATAGTAATTGATATAACTCACTTCCTATTTATAAGATAAAATACCTAATATTTAAAATTAAGTGATAGATTAATTAGATTGTGTTAATAGTACATTCTATACAAAAACTGAAAGAGTGGAAAGATTAAGAAAAGTTTGGATATGTATTTATAATTATTAATTAATTTAATAGCTGATGATGGATAAAGTAAACCAAGCATATTTGATAAAACTACAATTAGAGCTAATGTATTTTAAGTTAGAGAAAAACAATTATATTTAATAGGAATCTTTTAACCAATGTTATATAAAGGTAGTTATAATTCAACTAATTATGATTCATAAGTCAAAACTCCAAAATTAATTTATAAATTACATGAAGATACAAATTTAACTAAATATATTTTCAAATAACATAAAATTTTAGAACATGATAAATTATAAATTGTAGATGGACATTTATATTTTATTGAATTTAGAAATCCAATTAAATTATTACCTAATAAAACTTATACAATATCCATATCCACAAAAGAAGCTAAATTATTTCAGACCTATCATTATTCAATTCCTGTTATAGACCATCCTTTAATTAAATGGTAAACTGAAGATCTGACAGATTCTGATATATTCATCAAAGGACCTTATGTATAACATATCTATTCATATGCTAATATCGATTAGATTCCAAGTTTAGTTGTTAAAACATGAAATTTATAATTACAAGAAAATAATATAAAATATTTATAATAACATTTATTTCAAATGGCATAACAAAAAAAAGATGAGGAAGAAATCAAAGTAAAATCATAGATTTATTCTAGACTTATAAAATGATAGAGGGTGATTATTCTGTTCAAATTAGAGTACTAGAAGCTAATGATCTCATACCGACGTATGTTATGTATCAATATTCTTTAGTATATCTGGGTTTGCAGGTATTGGACTGCTTTCCTCTAAAGGCACCGCTTGTAATGCATTCATAGAATTGACAGTATGTGGCTAAGTGAAACGAACTAAAGTTGTTAAGAATTAATTAAGTCCTATTTTCAATTAGCTAATCTCATTCAAATTAAATGATATGAAAAAGGCTTAATTGTCATCAGCTACAATTACTGTGGCTGCAATAGATCGTAAAAATGCACTCTTAGGAAATAAAATAATTGGATCATATGAACTAGATCTAAGTAGTGTATATTTCAGTTTACATCATGAATTATATCGAACTTATCTAGCTCTCTCAGATCCAACTGATGAAAGAGAAGGGACAATGGGATATGTTTTATGTAATATAATGGTATTAGGACCTAATGATGAACCATTTGTACATGATGTGGCCACTGAAAAAAAAGCAGATGCTACTAAAGGAGCAACATTAACTCCAAAAAAGATACAATAATGGCCTCATTGTATTCGAATTAACTTGCTTAAAGGAGAACATATGGTTCCATTGGATATGACAGCAGCTGAAATTGATGCATATGTAGTTGTTAAATATGGTGGTTCAAAAATCAAATCCAAAGTTGTAACCAGTCGTAATCCTGAATGGTATCAGCAATTAAATTTGGCTTGTATGCTACCTAATTAAAGCAAATTTGTGGATATTAGTGTTTATGATTATGATCTTCTTGGAGATGATGATTTAGTAGGAACCTTCTAACTTCCATTCAAATCAATTCCAGAATATGAATCACAACCAATGTGGATCAATTTGTATGGTGCTCCTTTACGTGGGGAATCAAAAAAAGCTGATATGATGAATCTATATGGTATGACGACAGGATCTCATTACAGAGGAAGAATTTGTTTTACTATTTGTCGTTTTGATTAAAGAGATGCAAAAACATACAAAGAAGATTTAATCTATAGATTTCCAGAAAACCCTATGCCAGTATCTGAACAAAAAGGATATATACTAAGAGTTGATTTACTTGAAGGACATGAATTTCCAATAAGAAAATAATCAATTATTCAAGTTAAAATGGGACCATATCTATTGGTCAGTCAACCTGCTACTATTTAAGATGGATCATGTATGTTCTATGAAAATCTACCAGACAAAAAGGTATTATTCCCAAAAAACATAAATGAAATACCAGACATAATCATTTATATGGCAGATGATAATATGGAGGATCGTAGACATAGTTTCATTCGTTTGAAACCTAAAGATCTTTTGGATACACCTCTTCATCCTCAAATTTTTAAAATGACTGAAGATAGATCATTGGATTTGGTAAAAGATGATGAATTTCCAGGATTTCTATTTGCTAATGTTTAATTAATGAGTAATATGCCTGGAATCAGGAAACCATATAAACCAAATGCTCAATTAAAATTAGATTATTAATTAAGAGTTTATTTGTATTTAGGGAGAAATTTTCCTCCTGCAGATGCTACTGGTACTTCAGATCCTTTAGTGAAAATAAGATGTGCAGGATAAATTGTATAATCAAAGGCTTGTTCATAAACATTAAATCCTGGTTGGTATGAAACTCTAAAATTGAATGTGAAATTATATCCATTTGACAAAGAAGTAATAGTACCTTCAGGAATGTTTGTAATGGTTTTTGATTAGGATTTAGATGAAGATAATAAAGCTTCATATGATTTGATAGGGAGAATATGGATTACATTAGAACCTTAAAAGATGTAATTTTAAACAGATAGTGAGATTGTTGATATGTTTTACAGAAAACCAAAATGGTATAATATAAGGTATGATGCTACAGATGAAATATAAGGTTAAATACTTTTAGCATATTCAATAATACCTAAAGAAAAGGCTCATCTTATACCTGATGAGAGTATCTATCCTAATTGTGTAAAACAAGATCTCAATCTATTTTGTATTGGATTACGTAATTTTGAAGATATGATTTAAAATATTACACCAAGTAATGTTTCAATTTCATTTGATATCAGTGGTGATGATTATGATCCAATTTACACTGATTATAAGAAAGTGAAGGAAAAGGGTGTAAATATAAATAGACTAATACCTATTACTGTAGATGTACCTAAGAATTAGCATTTTTCACCTGTTATTGATTGTTATGTATGGAATTAAGAATTGCCAGACAAACCTAAACTATTGGGTGTTTAAACTATTTAATTATCTAGGATATTAGCAGAATATTATACGAAATTAAAATTAAAGCCAGGAGAGTAAATGCCAGTTGAATTTGATGAGTCTGATGAAGAAGAAAATGAATTAATGAAGAAATTAGAAGAAAAGTAAAAACCTCTTACTCTAGCATAAATTAAGGAAGCTAATGCTAATGAAGAAGATGAACCATTTGATCTTGAAAAAATTGATTTAAATATTCCATAAGAATTACCTTTCAAGAAAAGAGTAGTTGATGATTATGAATATCAAGAATATGTGAGAAAATAAGAAGAAGATTATTAATTAATTAAAGAAGAAGAAGAAGATTTACTAAAATAATCTCAAATAGGAGAATCAAATGTTTAAGATATAATGAATTTACAAGATGATGTTCCTATCTATAGACCTACTACATTTGGAGGTGGTTTATAAATAGGTTAAGATATACCAAATTAATAATTATAATAATCTCACTTTTCTAATTAAAGCAATATGATTATTGAATAGTTTCCTAAGGAAGAATAGGTTCCAGAAGAATAAATACCAGTACGTGTCACAAGACCTATGGATAATGAGAATGCTGGTGAAAACAATCCTATTTAATCTAATCGTAATCTTTAGAGTCATTAATCAAGAAGAGAATCCTAACAACAAAATGATAGAGTTGATATATAAAGCAATTAAAATTAATAATAGATGGATTAAAGAAGTCTATCCTAATAATAGTAAATTTCATAAGTAATACCTCAATCTAAAAGAGGATCATAATAGTAAGTAGAAATTGAATAAAGAAATCAATCAATTTCATAATAATAATAATAATAATAATAATAAAGAAAAGAATCTTAATAATAAATTAATAATGTTAATGAATAATAATCATAATAATCAAGAAGGTAATCATAATAATAATAATTACTATAAAAATAACAATCATAATAATAAATTGAATAACAATAAGAAATTTAAATTTAAAAACAATAATCTCGTCGATAATCTGAATAATAATAACCCAGATCAAAATAATAATCTATACAAAAAGATAATGATTTATAATAGAGAAGATAATCATAATAGTAATAATTTGAGAAATAATAATCTAATCAACTTGGATAATCTTAAGATTTCTAAAAAAAGTAACCATCCATTCCAATATCACCAATTCAAAATAGAAATGGATATAGTTAAGGTAGTCAATAATAAATTGAAGATTTTAATTTTTAAGGTAATTTAGATGAATCAAGAATAGTACCTTCAGAACCAAAATCAAAAAATATGAATGATTAATAATAAATGAAAATAGGATAAAGAGTTATTTAACCACCTATTTAAGGATCTTAAAGAAGCATAAGAATGTTAAGTTAAGTTGATTAAAGAGTAGTTTTTGAAACTGAATAACATGTCAAAAATTAAGCTGAATTAAGTCGTAGACAATCATAATAAATATAAGAAGTATAAGCAGTATAACCATAAATGAATTTATCTGAATAACTCTAATAATTACCTCAATAATAATAACCTATTAAGACATTATAAGTTCCGACTGATTTATCCTTTTCCAAAGCTTCAAAAGTATCTTCAAAAGCATTATCAGTTAATTCTGGTCCTAAAGATAATATGGATGCTGTAAAGAAGCCAAAATAAAAAAATAAGAAAATGCTTAAAGGTTCTAAAAAAGCTAAGTTATTTGGATTTGCTGCCTTATTACCAAAAAAGAAAAAAACTAGTGATATAGAAACATATGAAGATTTTGATACAGATCCTGGAGAAGATTTAGATGTAACACCTGAATGGTTGAAGGGTAGAAAATTCTTACCTGATGATTTAGAAGATAAAATGAAAACTAGTAAGAAATTTTTAAAATACACTATTATGACTGGTTAAAGTAGAGGTAAAGATACATAATTTTTAACTGATAAAAATGGACCTTCAAGAGTATGTGATTTCAAATGTTTGTTTTTAGAAGTAAAGCCTGGATAGGATATTGAAAAAAAGAAAGAAATGTATGTAAAAATGATGAGACCAAAATAATATGTATGTAGGTTATATTTCTTATCAGGAATTGATATTTAAAGTGGAGGTGATGAACCACCTGATTTATATTTAAAAGTAAGAACTGCAACAAAGGAACATGATTTAAAAATGATATCATTAAGATAGTGTACAAATAATCCATAATTTTATTTTCCATTTGAATTATAAATGGAAGTACCAGGATCAGCTATAGTAGAGGTTGAAATTTGGAGTGTTTAATCAATTGGTGATGAATTAGTGGGAACATCATTGATTGATTTGGAAGATAGATATTTTTCAGTAATGTGGCATTAATTTGAAAAGAAACCAATAGAGAATAGAAATATTAAAGATGAATTTGGATCTTCAGTAGGTAGATTACAATTATGGATAGATTTGGTTGAAAAAGCTTATGCAAAAAAAGATCCATTAATTAAAATTACTGCACCACCTCGTTATTAATTTGAATTAAGAGTAATTATTTTTGAAACAAGAAATTGTGTATTCAAAGATGAATTAGAAAAATGCAATGATTTATATTGTAAAGCAGGAATAGCAAATTAAGAATTATAAGAAACAGATGTTCATTGGAGATGTAGAGCAAAAGGATCTTTTAATTGGAGAATCAAGAATAAAGTTACATATCCATCACTTCCAGATGAATTTGGAACTGATAAATTTAAAATTCAATTATGGGATAAGGATATAGTTGGATCAGATGAATTAATAGGAGAAACAACATTCAATTTGAATACACATAAAATGATTGAAAAAGCAGTAAAGAGACTTCAAGCAACATCTATAAATTAAAGAATTAGAGAAAAAGGTGGTGTAATAACTGATAGACTTTGGGTAAATATATAAATATATTAATTACTAGTTAGATGTATATCATCCAGATGCAGTAGATGAAGAAGGATAGAAAATATCATAAGGATAAGTTTTATGTTCTTTTGAATTGTTGCCTCTTACAGATGCTGAAAAAAAACCAAATGGATTTGGTAGAGATCCTCCTAATGTGTTCCCTCCATTGAATGAACCTACAGGTCGATTATCTTTCGATATCACTAATCCACTTGGTTTTATTAAAGAGATTATGGGTAATTTACTAATATTATTTAAGGTCCTGATTTATATGATAAAATATGTAAATTCCTTTTAACTGCTCTACTTCTGACTGTTGGTGTTACTGTAGGATGGATATTTTTAGGTCCTTTGATTGCTAATGTTGTTGTGAAGTGATTTAATTAAATTATTTATAAAATGGACACACTTAGATTAAGTGCACCTCAAATCGATTTCGAGTATAATAAATTAGACAATATGCATTCTTCAATCACTTTATATAATGATACTCAACATCCCATTGCATATAAGGTATTTCTAATTATTAAATTCTAATCTTTAGTTTAAGGCTACTAATCTTAATATATTCTTGGTCAGACCACCATTAGGAGTAATTTAGTAAAAATAGAGTTAAATAGTCAATATTACACTTCATAGTAAAGTCCTTGAAAATAATTCAATTAAGGATTTTAATGAAAAATTGTAATTGATTACAACCATAGTACCTTAAGAAGTTTAGGATGCTGGACCTATATTTTTAGATAAAATGAGAAGATTTGAAAATAGAAAAATAAATATTGTCATTCTTACTAAGGATAGAAAAATAGTAGCTTAAAGTTCAGGAAATTCAAATCAAATGTTTTAATCAGTTAATAAATAATTTGGATAAGTGGAACCTACACGTGTTATTGCTATTCCAACTGCTGATAAGGCTAAAATTGAAGCAGAATACTTTTGCAATAAATTTGAAGTATTATAATAAGAGGTCACAAAGAAAGAAAAAGAATTAGTAATTATAATTTTTAATTCGATAGCAAGATGTTTAATAATATAATAATAGTTTAATTTAAAAAGAAGCAATCAAACCTAAATCTGGAAAATTGGATATAATCATTTTCCTATTATCCTTAATTGTGTCTTTTTTCTTGAGTTTACATTACCAAAATCAAATTTTATAAGTAATCAATTTATGATATTTCTTAATTGTTATTATTAATGTTTGAATAATATATTCAATTCTAACTGATAATATTTAATTAATTTATATAAAGTCACACCAAAGAAGGTTTTAAGATCAAAAATTTATTTTCTGTTCTTTTCTTTAAAATTATTTTATTTTTCATTTTTTTATTAAAATAAATAAATAAAGTCTAAATATTTATTCTATGTCTAATTTAAAAGTTTGTCCAAGGAACTATATATTCTAAGAGCCTAGAAGGAATAAATTTGAATCAGACTCAATCCTTAAGTTTCTTGTCAGAGGGATAAAACATATTCCTTATGCTGATGATTTAGCGACTACAAAATTTATCCCTTTAATTGATTGTTGAAGAACTTATTTAATTTAGTATTCATTATTAAACTTATCGAAATTATCTATTAAGAAGTCCTGAAGATTATATATATGCATTAGTATTAAAAGTGGTTGATTTATTGAGACAATTTCAATTCAAAATAATATTAACCTTGGATCTACTTTCTAATTATGGGATAAATGGAAATTATAGTATTAATTTAATTCTAATGAATTTGGATAGCTCATAATTTAAGATATCTTTTTAGAATTTAATCATGAGAGAGTGATGTATTTAAAATATAAGAAAAATAAAAAGACAGTGTTTATCTCTATGTAAAGATTATTAGTTACTTAAATGCAATTGCATAATTAAATATATTGATAATAAGTTGTATTTTTAGAGTATTTAATTAGTCTGTAGGAAATGCAATTGCAGGTATTATGGATCTTTATTCAGTTGAAATTACATGATTATGAACTTTACAATTAATTTTTGGATTTTTTTAAAAGGTTAAAAATTATGTATTTTCTTAATCTTAGATGTTTAAATTTAATTTTTTGAAGATAACTATAGTAATAAAATTGAGAATTTACATTTTGAAAATATATTATTAAGAAATGAAAATATATTATTAAGAAATATATAATATTAAATAATATTAATAATTTAAAAGTATTTAATTAAAAATCAGAAAATATCAATTGATATTAATTAATATTAATTTTTATTCTGAAAATATTTTTCAATGTAACTCATATTGTTTAATTATTGGTGTTATTATGTTAATCTAATATTTTTATGAAATAGAGCATGTACATTACTCTAATGCTATTTTATAATTGCTCTTTGTAATAAATGTTTATAAGTAAACACTACCTTAATTTTAAAACAAACAACTTAATCTTATATAGAATGTTTGAACTTTTTAGTGGTGTTGTAATGCATTTCAACAAATGACATTATAACAAATGTCTCATTTTTTTTATAAATTTTAATTGTTAATTTATTCATTTATTTTCTTTTAGGAAATTTATTTTCTATCATCTCACTTTGTTAATCCACCATTCAGAAATATATGAAATAATTCTAATACTGATTTTAATGTTTTTTTTTAGTATTCTAAAGCTGAATTTAAAAAAAATAAATAATAGAACCAATACAAATTAAATCTTCTTAAAATACATTAATGAGCTATTAGAAAGATATTAGGAAATAAATCTTGAAGGTTAAGAATAACAGTTCAATCAAAGTAAGGATTAAATGGACTCCAGAGGAAGATTAATAATTAATTGACAATGTGTCTCATTTTGGATATAGATGGCTTTAAGTAGCTTAGAATATGGAATAAAGGAATGCATCTTAATGTTGTTAAAGGTGGAAAAGGATTAAAATATGTTAAGGATTCTAACAACATAAAGCTAAACGATGGACTTAAAAGGAAGATGAAAAATTAATGAAAATCTATAAAGAAGTTGGACCTTAGTGGAATATAATAGCTGAACAGATGAAAATCAAATCAAGTAAATAGGTGAGGAGTAGGTTTAAGAATTTTCTTGATCCAAATCTAAATCATGCTCCTATGACAGAAGTAGAAGATGAATTTATATTCTAAGAATATTTAATGTTAGGAACCTAATGGACTAAAATATCAGAGAAATTGCCTGGAAGATCTGTAATATATTGATCATATATATACATTAGGAAAATATGATTAAGAATCGATTCTATTCATTTATTAAGGAGAAATATTTGAACTAACCTAATCCATATTACAAAGTAAAACCATTAGATAAGAAGGAAGTAGCTGAAAATTAATATAATTTTTAAGAGCAATCACTAATTGAATTCAAACATGAATCATAAGAATTATATGATGAAGATATAGAAAATGATTCTAATGAGATAATAGATGATCATTTATAAGATCTATATTGGAATTTTGAAACAAAAGCATACATATACTGAAGACTCTGAAAAAAAATAGATTATTAATATATGATAATAATATAAATTTATAAACATTTTATACAGTACTAATTAAAGTTATTAATAAAAAACATAAATTATTGCAGATATTGTATTATATAAGTGTGATTAGAAGTAAATTAATAATACTAAATACTTAACACAATTAATCATTGATTAATACTATAATATACAATACCTTAATTAATTGAACATAAAATATTCATTATAATAAATATTATTTAAAAAAAGTATTCTTATTATAGATTAATACTGTAGAAACAACTATTAAGTATTACAATTTTATTAATATAATAATATGTGATTAACAAAAATTATTTAGATTTAAACTCTTTGTCAATAATAAATTATTAATCAAAATAATTAGTATAAATTATGATTTAAATTCTATGAAATTACATATAAGGATTTATAATTTAAATTATTATTATGATATATCAATAGGATTAAACATGTAATGGACCATTATTCTTATTTTTATATTTTGAATAAGCAAAGTATCCACCAACACCTATAATAGCAACTCCAAAGATTACGAGTAAAGTAATCCACCACCAATTACTGCTCTCTTTTCTAAAGTAATATATATAATAATTACTTATCATCATCTGGATCAGGACCTGGAGGATTTGGACCAGGTGGATTTTTTTTAGTTAAATGAATGACTGCTTTTGCTGATCCATAATCATTTCTAGCAGTTATAAATACACTTTATTCTTTGATTTGATCTCCCTTTTAAATGAATAATCTTGGATAATCAGTGACTCCATATTTGATTAACATATTTTCTTTTTATGCAATATTATATACAAGATTGGTATGAAGAACAGGCTATAAATTATAATATAATATTATATACTCTTGCTAATGCAACATCTTTTGAAAGAGTCATGACAAATTATGTAGAGATGAATGTTTATTATTCATCCTCTTCACCTCCAATAAGAGTAATAATTTTAGTTTCACTTTCTTAAATAGCATTATGATCAATAATTGGTATTTGATAAACAGCAGCTAAGATACTCTTATCTTTAGTATAAGCAATGGCAACATGATCTTCAAAGAGTGTAAGTTTATTTAGTTGTTTCCATGTACCATAATTAGCAAGTAAGAATGGAATCGTACCATCTGGTTCTACAGGTGCTCCTTTAATAGGATCTGAAATATCAAAAGTAAAAGTGACAGCATAAGTTGCCATTATATCAGTAGATACTAAAGCAGTTGTTAATAATTAGTTATCTTTTATAGTTGATTTGATTGCTCTAATTTAATAAAATCTAGTTATTTCTTCAATTGCTAAATTTTGTCCAATTAAATTGAAGATTTCAAATTTATCATGTTATCCATATTAAATTGTTCCATTATTCCAATAAAGATCGACAAACCATACTCTCATAAGAGTACTAGATAATAGAAGTTTATAATAATTAACATTACCAACTTGATATTTGATAACATCAAAATCTGCAGCTTAAAATGTGATTTCAGTGCTTAAGAATTATGAATTAATAACTTGTCCTGCATCTAAATCCCAAGTTTTATCTTCTTAATTAAGAGTAACTTTGTGGATTCTAACAGTTCCATCATATAAAGTAGGTTTACTATTATAATTATCTAAAATAAAGAGTATTCCATCTTTATATAATAATTTGGATGGATGTTTTGCACCTTAAGCAATTTATTATAATGTAGGTGTAGCTGCTGTGAATGATTCACCATCATAAAATGTTAGATAAATATTAACAACACCTTTTTCTTCACATCCACTAAAAATCATTTTTCCATCTTCACTTGCTGTTATAGATATACAATCAGCACCAATTCCAACTGGTAATTTATGTGTTCCAATCCATTTACCAGATGCATCTTAATATATAATTGAATCAATAGTTTAAAAGATCATTTCATTTCCTACAGCAACTCCATCTACAAAATGTTATTGATATTGTGATCCATCAGTAATATGATATACTGGATTAACCATTTAGATTAAATGTGATTCACATTATTCACAAGTGGCATCATATTTAATAACTTATCCAGATTACCATCCTGTTGTTTTAATTTCCATATATTAATCTGCTGCTTAATTGATAAATGTAAATTATCCATTTTGTTTTGTCAATTCTTCTTAATTAATTTGAATATAAGTTTAAGTATTTATATATTTAATAGGATATGAAATAGACATAGGTTTAGTAGTAGCTTAATTAGTGATATTAACAGTGGCCTTCAAATTAGTAACATATTAATTGGATAGATGTGATGGTTATAATATAGCAACAGCATCTCTTAAGAATCCAACCATCTTTTATACATTTTATTGATTATTGACATACATGTACATTTAATCACGTCCAGCAGCAGCCATATTCATAACTTAACCATCATTAATTTTTAAATGTGTTTTAACTACTTTATGTAATGATAATTAATAGAGTACATCTGATTCATATACTAATATTACAGTTTCTTATGTAGATGGATCTAAGGCACGTACAAATAAGAATCCAGTTTAATAACAGAAATCTGTTGTTAATGGAGTTTAAATAACATAATCATATAATGGTAATTCTTTCATCAAATAAATGTTACTCAATTTCTCATAATTATATTCTTAAATCTTGAAACCTTAAGAAACACTCTTTTAAACTATAAAGATTGTTCTCATTCCTAAATATGCTCTAACTTCAGCATCAGGAAGTATATCAAATATATAAATTAAAGTAAAAGTATTTCTCATATCTCCAAAGAATATGCAATCTTTTGATTAAATTAATACAAATTCACTTTTTAAAGCAGGATTACCAAATACTCTAATTGGTTCAAATATTCTATCACTTCCTTATTCTTTCATTGTTTAACTAGAAATTATATGTTTTGTTGGAGTTGGGAAGAATCCAAACCAAGCATCAACTTCTTTTTTATTAGGCAATACAACATAAATAGCTTTTCTTAATACAGTAAATGATGTAATCTTATTTTCAGGTAATTCATCATATTTTATAGCAAATAATGGAGCTGATTAATCATGAGTACTTTCATATATTGAAATTTAATAATCATGTTCAATAAATTAAAGTGTTAATACATCTCCTTCTTCTGCATCCCAATCAAATTATGATGTACTTGGATTTAATACATTTGGAATTTTGAATTTTGCATGTTCTTCACAATGTACATCTCTTGATAAATATGATTAAGTTGTGCATTCAAATATTTCTATTTATTTACTTGATTCTAATTAATAAAGGAACCAAAATTTATGTTCATTAACCCAATGTGGATCAATTAATATATCTGCATATGCCACATCAGTTACAGTTGGATAAGTCAATCCAGTAACATTAAGTTCCCAAACTGTATGAACATCTACAATAACATGATCTTTTTATGAATCATCTCCATTTGTATATATCAAATTTGGTCCTGCTGCTAATTCTTATACATAAAATGGATCAGATGGATATTACATAATATTTGGGAATGGAATATGATCAACAGGATAAATATTAGTGTCACCTTCTTTAATTATTTGATATTTTAGTGATGCTGAACATCTTCTTTTATCTTCTCCAATTGCTGAGAATTACACTTCATTATCTCCAAGTGTTGCATCATATGAATGTACTGCTAATCTTGCATATCCAATTTCATATCTATATGCAAATGAATTTGTGACAGCAATTAAATCTGGTTCATAAGGATTTGCCAAATATATTTTAGTGAGTAAAGTTTCTGTATGAATTAAGTATTGATGATCTGAATTGTAAAGATAGAATGTATTTCCTCCTGGATTTACAATCAAAAATTATTAACTTGCAAAAATAAATGAAGGATGTTTAGCATCAAATGCATTCAACCATCCTCCTTTTTATACTCCATCAATATATTCAACAACTGATTTTTAATGAACAACAGCAATATGAACATGACTAATACCTTAATAATCTATCTTATTATTAACATCAAATGCATATGCTAAATCATTTCCAATATCAATCTTACTCTTAAATTTGAATTCAGATTTTGAATTTATGTAATAAATATATATACCATTATAGGCATCCAATATATAGATATCACCATTTGGCATTATTTTAAAATCTATCAAAGTAAACTTAAAATTTTCTTAATCTTCTGGTTTTATGCCTAAATCTTATATCAATAATCCTCTATCTAAATGTTAAATAGTTTCTACAATATCATTCTTATCATTATTTTTTAACAAATCAATTATGCAATCTCCATCAAGATTTGTTATACTACTACCTGGAGTACCATAGGCATATTAACCTCTTAATAAAATTCTTAGAGGCTCTTCATTTGAATCATCACCAATATTTTAAGCATTGTAAACATGATATTATACCTTTCTANAATCATGTTCAATAAATTAAAGTGTTAATACATCTCCTTCTTCTGCATCCCAATCAAATTATGATGTACTTGGATTTAATACATTTGGAATTTTGAATTTTGCATGTTCTTCACAATGTACATCTCTTGATAAATATGATTAAGTTGTGCATTCAAATATTTCTATTTATTTACTTGATTCTAATTAATAAAGGAACCAAAATTTATGTTCATTAACCCAATGTGGATCAATTAATATATCTGCATATGCCACATCAGTTACAGTTGGATAAGTCAATCCAGTAACATTAAGTTCCCAAACTGTATGAACATCTACAATAACATGATCTTTTTATGAATCATCTCCATTTGTATATATCAAATTTGGTCCTGCTGCTAATTCTTATACATAAAATGGATCAGATGGATATTACATAATATTTGGGAATGGAATATGATCAACAGGATAAATATTAGTGTCACCTTCTTTAATTATTTGATATTTTAGTGATGCTGAACATCTTCTTTTATCTTCTCCAATTGCTGAGAATTACACTTCATTATCTCCAAGTGTTGCATCATATGAATGTACTGCTAATCTTGCATATCCAATTTCATATCTATATGCAAATGAATTTGTGACAGCAATTAAATCTGGTTCATAAGGATTTGCCAAATATATTTTAGTGAGTAAAGTTTCTGTATGAATTAAGTATTGATGATCTGAATTGTAAAGATAGAATGTATTTCCTCCTGGATTTACAATCAAAAATTATTAACTTGCAAAAATAAATGAAGGATGTTTAGCATCAAATGCATTCAACCATCCTCCTTTTTATACTCCATCAATATATTCAACAACTGATTTTTAATGAACAACAGCAATATGAACATGACTAATACCTTAATAATCTATCTTATTATTAACATCAAATGCATATGCTAAATCATTTCCAATATCAATCTTACTCTTAAATTTGAATTCAGATTTTGAATTTATGTAATAAATATATATACCATTATAGGCATCCAATATATAGATATCACCATTTGGCATTATTTTAAAATCTATCAAAGTAAACTTAAAATTTTCTTAATCTTCTGGTTTTATGCCTAAATCTTATATCAATAATCCTCTATCTAAATGTTAAATAGTTTCTACAATATCATTCTTATCATTATTTTTTAACAAATCAATTATGCAATCTCCATCAAGATTTGTTATACTACTACCTGGAGTACCATAGGCATATTAACCTCTTAATAAAATTCTTAGAGGCTCTTCATTTGAATCATCACCAATATTTTAAGCATTGTAAACATGATATTATACCTTTCTATCAGTAACAGTCAAATATTTTCTAGAGTACATGAATTCTGATGTAATAACAGGAGGATCACCCTTTTTAATAATATAAACATAATTCTTTCCTGGTATAGGATCTTCACCTGTTTGTTCTTATGGTTCAATACAATCAACTAAAAATGTATCTCTGTCAATATATTCAAGATCCAAACATTTCATTAAACGATTGTTATTTATAAATTGAATTTCTTTTGTAAATGAAGGAGCCACATTCATTTATATTTATTTTCTATGATGATATAGTATATTTTCATTACCCTTCTGCATAGTAAATCCACCAAGAATTGTCATCAGGATCTTGACCCATGAATGCGAAATCATTAGTCCATGCACCAGTTTCTGGTATATCAAAAGCTCTTATGGCTATAATTTCAATATGTGCTAAAAGTATTAATATTGTTGTTACGAGCAAAATGAACTTCTTCACTAATTTTATGTAAAGGTTATTCAAGTTGAAATAGAGTTGTAGGAGAATCCAATTCATAAATCAAATTATCACCTTAAATAAATCTTCTGATTTCCCATTTGTAATATTCTTTCACTGTTGGATAAACATGATCTTATAGCTCCTTTGTCACTTGCAAATCAAAAATAAACACATACCACAAGTAGACAGAACTATAATTGGCAACAATGCTAATAGGTACATATGTGTTTATAACATAAATATTTAATTAATGGAGGATATGTTTAAATTTTCCACATATAATATGACATCATTATGAAGAAATATATATTCTTATACTCATTGTGCCATATTATTATTTTTATTTTAAGCGATGACATCAAAAATCTTAATTTTGATCGTAATTGCCGTGGCTGCTAAAGAGTAACTTAAACTCTAGCCATGTGATTCAAAAGTTAGTACACTCAAAGTATTTCCATCCACAGGTGAAACTTTAGAATGGGATTTGAAAGATACTTTCTTTGAAGGTGCCTATTTGTCATACAGTTTGAGTCCTGCTTAGACATTGTTTCAAATTCAGAAACCTTTTGCTTAATTGAGTAGTCCAAAGCCTCATTTTGAATCAATCAATAGAGTGACAGCCTCTCGTGCTTTGACAGAGAAAGGATAGAGAGTATGGATGAATCACTTTGTATTTATTGAGGTAGAATTGGATTCAATAGATTTATTCTATGCAGAAGGTGCTCAAGGTGATAATGCTACTCCACCTTAATTTAATAAGAAAATAAGTATTACAACAGGAAGTTCATATCTTTCATGTCTTGGAGTAGACTATTTGAATAAAGATCAATTTATTTTGGATTGTGTTGATAGTCAAAAATTACCATTCACTAATAAATTTTTTATAGTTGACAAGAATGGAAATTCAAGAATTCATTAGAATGGAAATTACAATAATTATAAAGTGAATACTAAAAGAATTTCATAAACAGTTGTGTTTACAAATAAATTAGGACATGAACATACATTCCTCTTTAGATCAACACCTGCATATGCAACTCAAACAACAGGATTAGATTAATCATCTTTACTTGAAGTATTCTATATAGAAAGTGATGGAACACCAAGATTATAAAGTGTATTGGATGCACCAACTTTAGGAGTGATAACAGATGTATAAAACCCAGAAAAATTCATTTTCTAATTAATTGATTTCAAAGTATTTCCAAATGGATTAATATATATATTGACAGCAAAAGATGGAATCTATGTATTAGAATTCTAAGGTAATGGTGAATTCGGTTTTATTGAAAGAATTGTTACTTCTAAGGATTAAGCTTATGAATTCGATGTAGATTATTTATTGTAAGATGATGGAACAGTTAAAGAAGTCATTGCTATCTTATATAATGATTACATTCAAGTAGTTGAAGGTAAGGTACCAATTAATAATTATATTTTGGAATTCACAGCCTCATATCCAGCAAGTCTAGTTATTTCATAATAATTTATAATTATATAATAAAAGGGTGTAACATATTTATTCAGTACTGAATATGAAGATTTCATTTATAAAGAAGTAATTGAAGGTGCTAAAGGATATATCATTAATCCATATGAAACTGAATTGATTTCAATCACTTAAGTAGATTCAAGAAGATATTCATTAACTCATGGTCTATTAAGATTCCCAAGTACATAAAATACAACTTCAACTTTATAATCATTTACTTTAATAGCCACAGATACATTTTCATAATAATGCAAAGTTACAATAAATTATAAAGTGTATAATGCTAGTGATTATTCAATATAACCAACAGATGAATTATAAATTCCAACTCTTATCTATGATATTCCAGAACCATTCAATATTGATCCACTTGCTTCTGGACCCAATTTGAATTATCTTTAATTGTTATCATAAAAAGAAAGTACAACAGTGAATGCCAAAATCACTTAATTATAAGAGATGTTACTTGAATCTATCAGTTTACCAAATCCATCTTAAGTAATATATTCTGATGTATTAATATTGGATTCATAAGAGGAAAGTTATGCTCTCCTCTTATAAACATCAGATAAGAGTATTACAATCTTTTAATGTCATATCAGAGAGAAACTTAAAGCAAGATCAGTTTGTTAACAATATTAGAAATTCTAATCATCAACCTTATTGAATATGAACAATTTTATATGGTGGTATTAGGGATTCAATATTTATCATCTTGCATTAGATAATGATTATTAAGCCACTATTAGAGTTAGTGGTGTAAATGGAACAAATGTAGTTGATACCATTTAATATCCAGCTGAAACTCTTAATAAAATTACAAGTGTGACAGTATTAAAAGATAGATTCTACTTTGTTTTAGGAAATAAAAAATAAATCGATATAAGATCTACTTATAGTCCATTTGAATTAGAATATTCCTTAACTGAAGTCATGCTTAGATATAGAGGATTCACAGGTTCTTGGAATCCATAAAGAATATATGGAAATAGAGTTCATAATTCCTATCTCATGTTCATTGCTAATGATGACAATGTAATTGTTGCTGATTATCATGCAGAATTCACTATTATCAAAGTAATTACTCTTAGTAAAGGATCAATAGATGTAGCAGTAGGATTAGAAAGCTTTTTCATTGTATTAAAATCAACAACTTAAAATTTGATTTAAGAATACGATCTTTAAAATCTTAATTCTATCCATCTTATGAAAAATGTTCCCTTATATTGGTATACACTCTAAACTCCACTTCAAACTGATTTCTGTTCTGATACTGGTGTACTCTTTGTAAGAGCATATGATAGCAAAACTGCTTAAACTGTTGTTTTAGTATATGGTCCAGGAAAATTGTTAAGAGATTCTTTACTCAAAGTCATTCCTTTAGGTAGTAGAATAGCTGATGGTACATCTATTATGATGTCAACTGCTGGATCAGATTAAATGGTATTCTATGTTAATAGTGGTACCTTATAAAAAGTATATTCCTATTTCAATTATCCCGTTCTAACAATTCAACCAAATTATGATTCATCAGCATATTTTTCTGTCTATACTATCAAATTCTAAGTAACTAATTACAATGATATTACACCCATTACCTATTATTAAGTAATCAATCTAGTCAATACTCAAATCACTCTAAGAATTGAATAGAATGTCCTCGACTATAGACCCTTAAATGCTACAAATTCTGAATAAAATATTGATTTAGTTGCTGATTGGTTCGATGGATAAGCTGTTTCATTGGATATTGATTGCAATCAATGTGATTCTTATGTCAAACCAATTTAAACTGTTTAATAAATGGATTCAGGTAGCTTCAATGGATATCATATAATTGATGCTGCTCCATATAAAGGATCAAGAACTATTTATTTAGCCAATTAAGAAACCCTTAGAGTCTTAATTGCTGATAGTGAAAACAATGAAGAAACTAGTTATTCTATATCACTTTCAACTACTCAATCCTCAACATGTGATCATATTGCTGCTACTGAAGATGGAGTCTATATCTTTGCTACATGTCAACTCAATAACAATAAAGTATTCCATGTTGCTAAATGCTCAACCACAGGACTTCTTGAATGTCATCAATTTGGAACTATTTAAACAATAGATGCATTATTTACTGTGTCCTAACTTGCTGTAAATGGTAATTATGTCTTTGTGTTGAATGGTAATCCTCAAAGACCAAGAAATTATGAAGGATCACTTAATGTCTATAGATGGACTGCAAGTGCATAATAAGTTACATTTGATTTACAAAAAATATTTGATAAAGCATTCTTTGGAAACTAATCCAGTTATTTCAGTAGTTTCTACCTTGCTAATTATAAAGTTGGAGTAACTAATTATCTCAAAGTTCTTTTAGTAGATTCTAAATAAAATCTATATGCAATTGATGCCTCTTTAAGTACTTTTGGAGTCATCACATGGTATACTACTTATTCCTAATTGAATCTTTATACATTCATCAATTAAGGTCAATTTGTTTCATAAACAAGTTCATATTATTAAGTATTGGAATTAGCAGCCCCTTATTATTAATCATCTGATTAAACTATTAGACTCAGAGTCCTCATTACAACTGATTCATCAGCTCATTATGCTATATCATTGACTTTTGATGGTAAATCTATTTCAACTAGTATACCTTTAAGTTATCAAAATGTTATCTATCTTTTAAATCAATATTCAACATGGACTGCTTTGAATAAAGCTTAAGTTGGTAATGATTATGCTGTCATTGCATACACTGATAATAGTCAATTATTGTTAGCATCCTATTTATTACCAAAAGATCCAATCTAAGGAGTGCCTTTGATTAAATTAGTTGGTGGAACTCAATCCAAATATGGTTATCCTTAAGTATCAGATTTCTTAGCATATATCCCAAAGAATATTGGTTTCGTAATTTTATATTAATTATCATTTTTAGCCAAGACTCTATGCTAATATTATCAGAAATGTTGATATCAAAGAGAACTTGTTATAAACTTATTATTTGAATCCAACTTATCAACTTTATGTCTATAATGTTGGTGGTGACTTAGCTGAATAATATGTTTCACTTACCCTAAATAATGCTTTCACTTCAGATACAGGTTATGTATTATTAAGATAATTTAAAACTGAATAACAAGAAGAAGACAAATCATTATTGGAAACAGTCTATGATATATTTTGGTGAAAAATCCAAATGAGTTATTAATAAATAAATAAACAACAATCNTAAATGGATTCAGGTAGCTTCAATGGATATCATATAATTGATGCTGCTCCATATAAAGGATCAAGAACTATTTATTTAGCCAATTAAGAAACCCTTAGAGTCTTAATTGCTGATAGTGAAAACAATGAAGAAACTAGTTATTCTATATCACTTTCAACTACTCAATCCTCAACATGTGATCATATTGCTGCTACTGAAGATGGAGTCTATATCTTTGCTACATGTCAACTCAATAACAATAAAGTATTCCATGTTGCTAAATGCTCAACCACAGGACTTCTTGAATGTCATCAATTTGGAACTATTTAAACAATAGATGCATTATTTACTGTGTCCTAACTTGCTGTAAATGGTAATTATGTCTTTGTGTTGAATGGTAATCCTCAAAGACCAAGAAATTATGAAGGATCACTTAATGTCTATAGATGGACTGCAAGTGCATAATAAGTTACATTTGATTTACAAAAAATATTTGATAAAGCATTCTTTGGAAACTAATCCAGTTATTTCAGTAGTTTCTACCTTGCTAATTATAAAGTTGGAGTAACTAATTATCTCAAAGTTCTTTTAGTAGATTCTAAATAAAATCTATATGCAATTGATGCCTCTTTAAGTACTTTTGGAGTCATCACATGGTATACTACTTATTCCTAATTGAATCTTTATACATTCATCAATTAAGGTCAATTTGTTTCATAAACAAGTTCATATTATTAAGTATTGGAATTAGCAGCCCCTTATTATTAATCATCTGATTAAACTATTAGACTCAGAGTCCTCATTACAACTGATTCATCAGCTCATTATGCTATATCATTGACTTTTGATGGTAAATCTATTTCAACTAGTATACCTTTAAGTTATCAAAATGTTATCTATCTTTTAAATCAATATTCAACATGGACTGCTTTGAATAAAGCTTAAGTTGGTAATGATTATGCTGTCATTGCATACACTGATAATAGTCAATTATTGTTAGCATCCTATTTATTACCAAAAGATCCAATCTAAGGAGTGCCTTTGATTAAATTAGTTGGTGGAACTCAATCCAAATATGGTTATCCTTAAGTATCAGATTTCTTAGCATATATCCCAAAGAATATTGGTTTCGTAATTTTATATTAATTATCATTTTTAGCCAAGACTCTATGCTAATATTATCAGAAATGTTGATATCAAAGAGAACTTGTTATAAACTTATTATTTGAATCCAACTTATCAACTTTATGTCTATAATGTTGGTGGTGACTTAGCTGAATAATATGTTTCACTTACCCTAAATAATGCTTTCACTTCAGATACAGGTTATGTATTATTAAGATAATTTAAAACTGAATAACAAGAAGAAGACAAATCATTATTGGAAACAGTCTATGATATATTTTGGTGAAAAATCCAAATGAGTTATTAATAAATAAATAAACAACAATCATTTTTTAATTATATTGGCGATTAATTAATATTCTTAGAATAGTAATTTTAATAATACTTGATATAAATTAAACAAACTTATCAATATAAATTGTTTATTTAATGATATAATTAAATATCTAGATATTCTTATAATTCAAATGATTCTTATATGAATAAAAATAAGAATTAAATGAAATCCTTTTAATTATAGTAACTTTATCTTTGTAATTGTTCTAATTTAGTTTATATATATAGTGTAATAATTATCAAAAATCTTTGAAAATCTTCTATTAAATACTTAATTCAAATATTTTTTCAATGAATTTCACCTATTTGGATTTCATATTTATAAGGATGATTTAATAATTATTATACATTTATTTATATAAATTTACAGAATTAGTTTAGACTATGTTATTTATAAGAAGGATTCATTTATATATAATTATGATTAACTAGTTATAAAATTAATTAATTCTATATGTTAATATGAACAAAAATTGTGCATTCTTCAAATATTTAAGAATTATTAATGTTATTATTAATTTCAATATTCCTTAGACACATATAATCATGCAGTAATTATTTTAGAAATCTATTAGATATATTGAAAAATGAATTGGAAATCAGTATTTCTACATATGAAAATATGTATTGGGAAATAAAGGATGAATTAATTGAAGGAGAGATGACAAAATTTAGATTGGAAGGAGATAAGAATGGGACATACTTCAAATTGTAATAGCCGAACGATATTTATGATTAGAAACATTTTCCTTATTGTATGAAATTCAAGCATAGTTGTAGAGATTTAAGAAATAATCAAGGGTAGATCATATAGAAAAGGAGAGTTTTGGTTAAATGAGTATAGTTTATTGGGAAGAGATTCTTAAGGATTTCATATATACATAATAAATGATGAAAGTTTTAGATAATTGTCACTTTATCATCTTTGTACAGATTTTGATTATTTGGATTAAAATAATTATGTAGTTGTTTGTTAAGATAATGATGGAATATTTATATAGATTATTAATAAAAGTGGAACTATTGTATTTGTTTATTCGAAATTGATGAAGTAAAAGAGTAAATATAATTTGGCAATTTATAGAGATAAATCAATTACATATCTATTAATCTATATACCAGCATATGCAGAAGAAATATTGAATATATAGTCAATAATTAATGTATTCCTCATAGATTCATATTAAATTATAGAAACACCTTATTATTTGGATAAAAAAAAACTTTCGGAATTATTTTAAAATGAACTCAAATATTTTTCTGTTATTGATGTTTAAGTTTATTCAAATAATGTATATGTTTTAGATTATAAATTGGGTCCAATTAAATTAGTCTAAGATAATAAGGGAAATTTTACATAAGCAAAATTAATAACATCATCTTTATACATAACAGAATATTATAGTTTTTCAATAAGAAATTATGATGAACTTATTGTTTTTGGATTTGTATAGAAAAATTAGATGAGTTTGAGAGTTTTAAAAAATGGGAGGTATGATAATATAGTAAGAACATTTGAGAAAGGAGACTTTACTTTAGGTATTTGTGATGTATAAATAACTCCCAAATATTACTTAATCAAATCTGATAAAGATCTTATGATTTTTAATGATAATGAATTAGTTGATAAATTTTAGATTTAAAAAGAAGTCTTTATTGCAAATCCATATTTTGATCTCTATATTTTATTTCATTCAAATAAAGCAGAATTTTATGAAATTAGTTCTGGTATATTAATGTTTCAAAAACAAATATTAAAATCAGAAAATTAATAATATTTTAAATTATTTGACAATCAAAATGATAATTGTTATGTAAATATTGTTTTAGCAGTCTATGNTACATTTATTTATATAAATTTACAGAATTAGTTTAGACTATGTTATTTATAAGAAGGATTCATTTATATATAATTATGATTAACTAGTTATAAAATTAATTAATTCTATATGTTAATATGAACAAAAATTGTGCATTCTTCAAATATTTAAGAATTATTAATGTTATTATTAATTTCAATATTCCTTAGACACATATAATCATGCAGTAATTATTTTAGAAATCTATTAGATATATTGAAAAATGAATTGGAAATCAGTATTTCTACATATGAAAATATGTATTGGGAAATAAAGGATGAATTAATTGAAGGAGAGATGACAAAATTTAGATTGGAAGGAGATAAGAATGGGACATACTTCAAATTGTAATAGCCGAACGATATTTATGATTAGAAACATTTTCCTTATTGTATGAAATTCAAGCATAGTTGTAGAGATTTAAGAAATAATCAAGGGTAGATCATATAGAAAAGGAGAGTTTTGGTTAAATGAGTATAGTTTATTGGGAAGAGATTCTTAAGGATTTCATATATACATAATAAATGATGAAAGTTTTAGATAATTGTCACTTTATCATCTTTGTACAGATTTTGATTATTTGGATTAAAATAATTATGTAGTTGTTTGTTAAGATAATGATGGAATATTTATATAGATTATTAATAAAAGTGGAACTATTGTATTTGTTTATTCGAAATTGATGAAGTAAAAGAGTAAATATAATTTGGCAATTTATAGAGATAAATCAATTACATATCTATTAATCTATATACCAGCATATGCAGAAGAAATATTGAATATATAGTCAATAATTAATGTATTCCTCATAGATTCATATTAAATTATAGAAACACCTTATTATTTGGATAAAAAAAAACTTTCGGAATTATTTTAAAATGAACTCAAATATTTTTCTGTTATTGATGTTTAAGTTTATTCAAATAATGTATATGTTTTAGATTATAAATTGGGTCCAATTAAATTAGTCTAAGATAATAAGGGAAATTTTACATAAGCAAAATTAATAACATCATCTTTATACATAACAGAATATTATAGTTTTTCAATAAGAAATTATGATGAACTTATTGTTTTTGGATTTGTATAGAAAAATTAGATGAGTTTGAGAGTTTTAAAAAATGGGAGGTATGATAATATAGTAAGAACATTTGAGAAAGGAGACTTTACTTTAGGTATTTGTGATGTATAAATAACTCCCAAATATTACTTAATCAAATCTGATAAAGATCTTATGATTTTTAATGATAATGAATTAGTTGATAAATTTTAGATTTAAAAAGAAGTCTTTATTGCAAATCCATATTTTGATCTCTATATTTTATTTCATTCAAATAAAGCAGAATTTTATGAAATTAGTTCTGGTATATTAATGTTTCAAAAACAAATATTAAAATCAGAAAATTAATAATATTTTAAATTATTTGACAATCAAAATGATAATTGTTATGTAAATATTGTTTTAGCAGTCTATGATAAATTAGATGCAAAAATACATACAAACTATTAAACTAGTTTTTATAATTAAAGAATATTTTATTATCCTCCTTATCCTTCAACATATTACACTTGGCCTAGAATAACTAATGGTCCAAATGTTCAATAAAAAATAACAATACATAATGACTAAATAAACAATATAGATTTGAAATTTCTCTCATTATCTCCTATGACTATTACAGGAATTAGTTAATTTGATTAAAATAATGTAATATTTAGTCTCATCAATAATAATTGGGGTCTTAATTAATATTTAGTATAAACTGAAAATTTAAGTGCTTTCATCTATGAATGTTAAATGAATGAATTAGAATAGAAGTGTTCATAAAAGATCACCTTTTATCCATTAATTAAATTAGTTGATGATAATATCGTATGGACAGAAATAGGGATATATGACTCATATATAGGTATTAAGACATAAAATAATCATGTAATCACAATATATAGAGTTGGTGATTCAAAGATTGTTCAAATATTCTAAATCAAGACTTCTTTATAAAATGAGAAAACTCAAATAACTGATTTTGCTATTAATTCTCAATTTGTATTTGTACTTATTAGTGGAATGAATGAGATCTAAATCTATTCTTTATCTTTAAAAATTTAAATTGATACTATATCAAATCTAAATAATGCTTAAAAAGTTTATATTAGTAATACTTTTAATAAGAATCTATTATTTATCAAATGTAACAATATAATCATAATTGGACATTATGTTAATGAATTCAATATCATTTCTTAGATCTAAGTGACAGAATAATAAAATGTTCAATTACTTTTGTCTATATTTAGATCTACCCTTATAGTTGTCTTTAAGACAGTTACTGAATAGGGCATTTTGTAATATCTTATTCATAATTTGAATTCAGTAACACTTTTAAGAAAGTTACCATTATATTACTATTAATTATCATAATAGCTTTAATTGGCTTCTAATCCTTTAAAGAACTTAATTTTGATTACTGCATATTCAGTATACACTTAGACAACTGTAATTTTGATTTATTAAATAAATGAATATTAAAGGAATTCTCTATTGACAGTTATTGATACTTTTAATTATTTTGAAGGGGAATTAAATTATTGTGTTGCAGGAATTGCCAATACAGTGATTTAATTCATATATAAGGGATAAGTGTATAGTTATCTTTATTTTGAGTAACCTAGAATTTATATAAATTATTTGACTAATCCAACACATTTTTAATCTAATTTAATTTTAACTTAATAGGAATGGAATGATTATTATAGTTTAAAGAGAGAATACAATAAAAATATTATTGTAGTTGATATGTAATTGGAAATGTAATGGATAAAAGATAATATAGAATTTGAATTTGATGAATGCAAAGAAGTTTAGACAATTCGAATAAAGAATAATTGGATCTAAGGTTAACGTATTTAATTTAAATTATCTTGTATATTATGTACAACTGATAATGACAGTGGTTAAATATATTTATTGAATCAATTTTTAAAATCTAATAGATAGATATAATCAAAATCAATATAGTAATTTATAAATTTTGATGATAATTTTCTTTTAATTTTATCAGAATTAACTGGAACAAAATAATATTTGTAATTTATTAATAATGTTGGAGAAATAGCAAATGAAATTGAATTATAAATAGAATAATATAATTATGTTGCTACAAAATTGTTTTTATTAACAAAGAATATACTAGTTATTTTATATGAAAATGTAACTGCTTAAAAACCTGAATTAAGATATTATTATTGTTGGAAGGATTAAGAAAAATAAGATTGTAAATTAATGGGGAAAATAGAATTGTAAGATAGAAGAATTATTAAAGAGATGACCTATTTAAATAATGTATAAATGATCTTAACTGAAAGTTTAACAGAATATCCTTCAATATATTTTTATTCTTTGTTAATAGATAATAAAGTTTTTACAATATAATAATTTAATTTAATAATCAATAAAGATTATTTTCATGAAAGTTTTAATATAACTTCTTTTGATGTAATGAAAATATCTGAAAATTAAGGTTGTTTGGTTTTAGCTGAATTTAGTATTGGTATAATTGCTATAAAAATGACATTAACTAAGGATTAGGTAAGTATATCATAATATGAATATTTGGAATTGCCATTTAAGCAATAAAATTTAGTAGAACCTTAAGAAAATAGATTTATAAAAATATAGATCTTTAAAGAGGGGAATAATAATTGCAAATTGATTTTAGTAGATCAAATTAATGAAAGTTATTAAATATTTCTTGAATATTATAGAGGGAAATTTAAGATAAATATAGCCTAAGTGTTTTTGAAATTAGGAAATATAATAAAATTAAGTTCTATTAATGTTATTGATGATTATTTATTATAATTGTTTAGATATGAAAATAAATATTACTTTTGTTTATATGAAATCAATTAAAATAATGATGTTAGAAATAATGCAGGAATATGTAAAGCAGGTTTGAAATAATCAGATTATGATATGATTATATCCTCTAATTTTATAACAAGAAAAAATCAATTTGGTAAATATTAATTATTGATAAATACTTATGATGATAGGAGTTTGTAAATTTATTCTATAGATTAAGATGCAAGAATTGTAGTGAAGAATGCATCAGAATTAAACAATTATACTGTTAGTTTAATAGCAGTTAATCCATATAAATAAGTATAATTGGGAATAAATTTAACTTTGATATCATGTCCAAATCCTGATTAAGAAATGAAATTATTTTTTATACTTTTGATAGTTGTTTTGGGAGTACTTTTTGTTGGAATAATCATATGTGTGGCAATCCATATATGTATTAATAAACATCGTAAAAGAAGACGATCATATAAGGCCATTTAATGATTTGTTCTTAAATATATTATTATAAATTCAATGGCTTAATTTATTTAAGTCATTCAATTATTTACTTTTTGTTTCCTTGTTGTAGATTTTTATATATGGAATATTATTATTAAATATCTAGTCTTATTTACTAATATCTTATTGAATTTTAAAATTTATTTAAATAAATTAATAAATATTGGTTTATATAAATTTTCATAAATACTATTTAATTGATGATAATAAAAAATATTAAATAAAATATTTTGTGACTTTCCTTGAATCAATTTCTTTTTATGATATAATAGAAATTTTTAAATTCTAGCAATAAATCTTAATTATTATTTTTCATTTTATATATCAAAAATATCTATTTAATAACATTGTTATAAAAGTTGAATAAAATATTTATAGTCTCATTCTAGAACTGGTCTATTTGATTCTTATATTAGTAAACAATATGAAACAAGATGAATTGTTCAGTATAATATAAATAATAAATTCAATAAAATAATTATTCTTAAATTATTTCTATAATATTCTTTTGATATCTAGAATTTATCAATCCTTTAATTTTAATTCATTTTTAGAGATTTAAGATTGTACTAAAATATCAAGTATAATAAAATAGGTTAAAGATAAAAGAAAAATGAAACTTAAAAATATTGATTGATATAATTACATAATTAGAAAGCTTGTCTAACTATTTTAGAACTATTTAATGTATTTTTAATTGAAATTAATTGATCTAACAAGATTTAGATTAATTTCATACTTAATCTCTAAAATTGATCTCTAAAGATTTATGAATTGTGAAACCCATAGGTTTGAATATTTTAAATCATAAATGAATGAGTATAGTTGGAATAGCCAAGTTAAAACTAAATACTAAGTTTGATGAATCTTCAATTTCATACAAATATATATTTCATGATTAATTAATTTATCATAAATTTTGAATGAGGTAATCGATTTTATTGAATGACTCAAACTTATCAGAAATTTAATATAAATTTTTCCAAAACTTACCTTTTTAAAAATAAATAAATAATGTTCATCATCTTATCATTGCTAACATAATTGTCATATGGATGTTCTGTGTGGACTAATGATACATTCTATATAACAGCCACTCCTGGAGAAATAGTTGATATAAAACTTGATGAGATTTTTAGAGATAAAAATATTTAATAGTACACCATCTCTCCTAAGTCGGAACTATACTCATTATCTAATCCATTAAGTTTAATATAATAAAGTCAATATAATTAAATAGAACCAAGAGAATTGATAGCTTCAAAATTATATAAAAGTTCTGGATATCTAGATATAACAAATTAAATAACCATTTTAAGCAAAGCACAAAATAAATATTTTATAGAATATAGTTCTTTAATGTTTGAAAATACACCAGATATTGATGTTGTTTAATAAGTAAATGTTAAAGAAGATTCAATTTGTTATGATACTGTCTAAGTAGATTTATTGTATATTATTGAATGTAATAATGTGGATGGTGATTATTTTACTATTCTAAATAAAGATTAGGTTTAATATATGGCTATTATTAATTCTTAAAGATAACAAAGAAAACTTGATTAATTAGATAAATTTATCTTAAGAAATTTATATTATTCATTAGAATTATATTAATTATAAGATAATCAATTGGTTTTAATAAGTACTCTTAATACAGAATTAATAAGATAATTAACTAAAGATGATAAATTTGATCTTTTAATTGTAGATTTTAAATTCCATACAAATTAATAAATTACAATTTTGAATTAAAAAGGATAATTTATATGTCTAAAATATATGAACTAATAAAATTAATGGGAATTATATGAATATTTATAAACTTAAACAACTCTTCCTTATGCTTATGATTATTCTTGGAAATATTTGCAATTAGTAATCATTTCAGATAAAATAATATATCTTCGTTAGATTTCAACTTGGACTCAAAAAGATAACTTAAATTTTGATCAAAATAACAAAGTATAATTGTTATAAAATTATATAATTATTTAGAAATTAAAATCATTATAAATTTTAAACTTTAATTTCAAAGAGATATAGAGTATAGATATTCAGACTTAAGGTTTTTTAAACTCATATCTAGCATTTGATTCATTTTTATTTTTTGATTATTAAAACTTTTATGCTTATACAATTAATTAAGAAAATCAATAGATATTGAGATTTTAATCAAATTAATTAATTAATGAATATTAATTATTCAAAATTTAAAAGTAAACTCCTTATAAATTATGTGAAATCAAATGCTATTATAAAGTTGTTAATATTGCTACTAAAGATATTTATTAATAAGTTTAGGTTTCTAATAGTTTTTTTAAAGGTGGTTTATTATTAGATGAACAATAATCATTATAATTTACTTAACCATTTGCTGGATAAAATTTAAAGTTAGAATTCACACCTAACTAATTTATGACAGTTTAATTTAGTAGAAGTAAGAAAGTTGAAATTCTCTATGCAGGTGATCCAAAGAATATTATTTATCGTAAAATTATTCCTGAAATTGGGTAGACAAGTTTTATCGAATAAAATAATGATTTATAAATAACTGGATATCTGTGTAATTTAATAGAACAATAATTTTAGTGTAAGACATTTATATAAACACACGATTTCATCAAATTATTGGATTCTCCTCTATAAACATGGTTTGCATAATTTTATACATACTTAGCAATTGGAAAAGATAAAAATATTGATCTTTATTGTAATTGTAATGATTAATTTCAAATATCTCTTCTAACAACGTTAGTTATGGATAGTAACATCAAAGAAATAAAACATAGTTTCTCTTATTTATTAATATTGGTTGATTAAGAATTACTTGTGTATTAGATAAATAATAGCAAATAAAGGTTAGTGTTTCGCCATTTAGCTGAAAAAGTCTATACATCTGCAAACTTAGATCAAGTTTGGATTTATTAAAAGAAAACATTATATCTTTTTGATATTTCTGATAATACTAAATTGCTTTGGTTCACATATCTAAAAGATTATGATGATATTGAAGTTGGAGTAACTTAAAATTAATTTTTGTTATTGGCTAAAAGAGACAATCTATATCAAGGATTTGTATATGACTATCAAAATCTCAAATATGCTTACATTTCAAAAGAATTAGATCTATCAGGTTACACTGAATTGAAACTTTGTTTATCCTGTAATTCAAACTCTCAATTCATTTATTTAGAGGCTTACAAAAATGGAAATCATTTATTACTTATTTACAGATTAGATTAAATTGCTATTAATTCATTATTCATTTAATTTACAATTTTAGCAAATAGCTAAATCACATCTAATGAATAAAATTTATTTATTACTAATTCTTAAATGTTATCACAATATATCATTTAGAATTAAGATTCATCTTCTATTAGTATTGAAATAGATTAAAATTATTAACAAGTAAAGAATTGTGAAATTATAAAATTAAGTGGCAAAGTCTCCAATTCTGATAAAAACTAAGAAATTAAAGATGTTCCAATATCATTAATAAATAGAGGAATAAATTTATTTGGAATAGTAAATGAATTAAATTTTAATTATGAAAAAGATGGAAATAATAGTCATTGTTTTGATTTAGGATAATCTTGGTATAGTGGTTAAGCTTTTTAAATAGATTTATAATAAGGAAATGAAGATATTAAATTATAAAAAACACTTATTAAATAATAATAATCTATTGAATATAGTTAATCTATTATGGAATATGATAATAATACTTTAATTTAATTAATTTCGAATAAAATAATATTCATATCTAAAGAAGATTTTTAAATTACAGAATATTAATTAGATAATTAATATTAATTTATTAATATACTTTATATTTAATCAAATCTTATTTATCTTTAACTTATCTTTAATAAATAATATTTAATTAAATTATTATTATTTCAAAATTCATAAATTATCTTATTAAATGGATAAATTACTTATAATTATTATATCAAAAAGGCTTCTTTAATCAATAACTATTTCTTTGTTTGGGTGGATTTAAAAGTTTAAATTTACAATATGAATAATGAACCTGAAAATTTATTAAACTATGCTTTGGTTAATGATATTAACATCCCATTATAGGAAGGTTCTATGGAAATTTAATATATATAAACTAATGATGTTTATTAGATCATTTATTTAGATGAAGGTTGTTTATTATAGATATTTAGTTTTCAAATATCACAAACCTAAAATGCTCATTACAATTCAGTAAGAGATATAGGGGAAATTTTAAGAGAAAAATTACTCTATGATCCTTAAAATTAGATCTGCAGAAATTTATTCTTGTAAAAAAATGAAATTGTTGTTGTTATTTCTGGAACTCCTTCCTATAAATTTAGTTTGATTATTTAATGTTAACAATAGAATATATGTGATATTATTGAATTAAACTTATTATCTGAATATCAACAATATGGAAAATCATACATAGATAGAAAATATCCTAGTAGCTACTTAAATGAAAACATTTTGTCTATAATTTATCAAACAGATAATGGTTATGATGTTTTATTGTATGATCTTAAAAGTTAGAATAATAAAATTGGACCAAAGTTGGCTATTGCTCACTCTTCATCTTTATTTAAATAAAGTTAATTGATTTCTTTTGTTTACAGTTATAAAGAGTAATTGCATTTATTGACTTCTGCAGATAATATATAGAAATTATAACACTATTTATTAAGAAGATCTCCATAGGTGTGTGTAGATAAGGAGTCAGTTACATAAGATGTTAAATTCTTATTAAGAAATTCATATCAAGAAAAAGAGATTAATATAAAATTGAAGATATCACCAAAAGTTCCACCAAGTCCACCAGATCCAGGATCTGATGAAAAAAGAGGATTTCCATTATGGGCAATTTTATTGATTGTTGGAGGTGTTATTTTATTATTTGGTATTGGAATCACGATTTGGTGTTGTAAGAAAAAGAAAGAAAAAGATGATTTATATTAATCTATTCCATGATTTATTATCAATATCATAAAATTAATTATTATTAATTTATTTATTATATTCATTAATCTCTAAAATAGTATTCTGTTGTTAAATTAAAATTGAAAATAATTAATAAAATATGAGCTTATATTTATAAATTATTGAAATTTATAAATATGACAAATGTAGTTTAAATATATATTGAAATTTTGTATCTACTTGAATTAAATGAATGGACTTGATCATTACATAAAATAATCAGAATAATATTCAAATTTAATTAACAGCCCATGATTTTTTATGTGTAATAAATTACTCTATATTGTTGCTATTGACCTAAATATTATCAATTATTTCTATAAACTAAATATATGAGTTAATTTAAGCAATATATATTACTTATTAATTAATTCCTTAGAAGTAGTACTATCAATTTTCGAAGTAAAATTATTTGATGTATTAGAAAGAAATCTCTTTTGAAGAAAAATTCTGTATTACATAACAAATAAGTTTAGAATCCATAATTTCTAATCACTAATTAAACTAAAGATATTTACATATATAAACAAATTAATTTCCATATTACAACAAAAATTAAAAATGATAAAAATCTATTTTTTGTTAAGCTTATTCATTACTCTGATTAAAGCTTGCTCATATTTACAGAATGAGGCTATGCAAATCATCTCAACTCCTAATGAGGTTATTAACATTTAATTTGCCTCAATTTTCAAAATAAATCAATTCAATAAGATAACCTTATTCAGTGATGATAATAAATTTGCAATAGTAAAGCCAATTGAGTTGACAGAGCAGTTAAAAGCCAATAGTTTATAAAATAGTGAGGTAGTTTCATATAAACTCTTTAAATCAAAAAAGAGTCGTGATCCATTGCATTCAATGGCAATTTTAGTAAAAGTAAAGGATTACTATGTTGTAGAATTTAACTCTAATATTTATAATACTTTACCTTCTATCAATTCAGTAACTGAAAGAGTTGATTAACCTAATTCTATTTGCTATGATGTAATTTAAGTTGATTCTATCTTTATTGTTGATTGCCAAAAGGAAGACTAAGATTACTTTTCAATTGGATAAGATAATTATATTCCAATTCAAAAAGCCAAGAATTAATAAAGAAGATTAGATTAAATTGACAATTATATTTTTAGAAGCACAGTAAATGAATTGGAACTATATATTTATGAATTAAATACTGTGTAATTCCTTAAAATTCTTGATTAAACAACACTAAGTTAAATATTAAAAAAAGATAACTTCAAATTAGAAATAAGAGATTTTAAAACACATTCAAATGGTTAAATTAGTATTTTAAATTCATAAGGGGAACTAATAATATTAGAATACAATAGATTAGATAATGAATGGATATTAATTAAAAATATTGATACAAAAACTCAAAATGCATTTGGTTATGATATTGATATTGATGCTAATTAATATGTAGTAATTTAAGAACAAAATCTTTATTTTAAGTCTAAAACATCCCTTGAATACTTAGTTAATATAACTAAAAATGAAAGAAATAATGTTTATTTGACAAAAAATTATATATTATTTCAGAAATCAGATAGTTTAGTACTTTATAACTAGAAACTGGAAAAGCTTTATTCAATGTTAATTGAATAATCTAATTATAAACTTATTTCTAATCCAAACTTTGATAGTATTATTACCTTAGATAATATTAACATTTATCGCTACTCTATTAATAATGATTACTATTTAAGGTTTAAATCTGATAAACTTTAAGATTAGTATAGTTAAATTTAGATTGTTTAAGATTCAAATGGAGCTAAGTGTGATGTAGTTATTTACTATAGAGTAGTTCCAATTGAAACTTTAGAAATGTTCTAAACTTAAGCATCATCTGCTTTATTTGCATATGGAGTTAATTTGGATGAATAAATGGCTAAATTCCAATAGGCTTGTTAAGGTCCAAATCTCAAATTTGAATTTTATAATAGTGATATTTTAAAAGTATCTGTCAAAAATTATAAGGAAGCAATTCTGAAAAATTTAAATTCAGAAGAAATTATTTATAGAAAAGCAATCTCAAATCTTAACACATAAAATATATATTTAATTCAATAAAATGAGAATTTATAAATTGAAGGTTATAATTGTGATATTATTGAATAAACTAATATTAGTTGCAATAATTGGTTTGAAAAAATTATATTTCCAAAATTAGAAGATTCATAAAAATAAATTTGGTGGATGACTTAGGATGGTCTTTATTTTGCTATTTTAAATGATAAATCAGTTGATGTCAATTATATATCTTATGATAAAAAAGAATTTAAAAAATTTTAAGTTATTTAATTATAAACTCAAGGAAAATCAATAAAAACTGATGGAAGCCATTTATTTATATTGATTGAAAAAGATGTTGAAATTTATGAAATTAATTCAAAAGAGTGGAAAAAGCTTACAATAAGTTTAACAGAAGTGAATCAGATTTTTGCATCACCTTTTAAATAGGATATGTTATTAGTCTACGATAATAATAATTTATCTATATACAGTGTTTAATATTAAAAAATTACATTAATCTGGTTTACTCCTTTAGAAAGCCAAATTGATATAAATGTTGCAATTACTAATGGTCAACTTTCTATTTTGATAAAATCAGAGGAAATACATTCATTACTTACATATAATATTGAAAATGAAGGAAACATTTATTTTTAAAGAAAACATAGTTTGTATCATCATGCATAAGGTGATATTTCATTATTTGATTGCAATTATTTTAATAACTAATTATACATTATAGGAACTCATGAGAAGACAAATAATAAGGCAATTTTAGTTTATAAACTTACTGAAGTAAGCATAAACTCTTAATTCATGATCTTAGATATACCAACAGCTCGGCTATCATCTGCTAATAACTTTGTTTTCATTACTGAAGCAAACTAAAAAAAGTTTTATTCATATTACATAGATGGTAATTACTTTGTAAGTACTTCCTTTAATCTTCCAGATAATTAATAAATCTACAATAAAGATATTAAATTATAAGGAAATGTTTCTAATACTGATTTTTAAAGAATTATCAAAGATGTTCCAATTTCATTAATAAATAGAGGAATAAATTTATTTGGAATAGTAAATGAATTAAATTTTAATTATGAAAAAGATGGAAATAATATTCATTGTTTTGATTTAGGATAATCATGGTATAGTGGTTAAGCTTTTTAAATAGATTTATAATAAGGAAATGAAGATATTAAATTATAAAAAACACTTATTAAATAATAATAATCTATTGAATATAGTTAATCTATTATGGAATATGATAATAATACTTTAATTTAATTAATTTCTAATAAAATTATATTCATATCTAAAGAAGATTTTTAAATTACAGAATATTAATTAGATAATTAATATTAATTTATTAATATACTTTATATTTAATCAAATCTTATTTATCTTTAACTTATCTTTAATAAATAATATTTAATTAAATTATTATTATTTCAAAATTCATAAATTATCTTATTAAATGGATAAATTACTTATAATTATTATATCAAAAAAGCATTTTAAAACTAGGATAGATTCTTTGTATGGATATATAATTATGTAATAGCATATGATACTAAAAATGATCCTACTAATTTGAATGAATTTGAAGTTATCTAAAGGGTTTTTCCATCTTCTTATCCAGTGTCTCTTGAGTTTAAACATGTAAAGGATAATATTTACTACTTTTTCTTTATTAGTTAGTCTGCCTAATTAGAAGTAGTAGCTTATGAAATAGTTAAGAACTCTTAAAAAAATTTTTTCCTGATTTATTAAATAGTAGACTATCTAAAAATATAAGGCATGTTTTTCCCTCTTGATTACATATGCAGTGGAATGGTAATGACAGAAAATTAAGTTATTATATCATTAAATAATTCTATTTCATATACTTATGAATATAAGATTGATTGTTAAGATAATTATTTATGCCAGATAACATAATTTAGTTATAAGAATAGTTATCAGTAATATGGTAGTTGGAGTTTGAAAAATGAATATCCAAGTTTATTTGTCAGTGAAAACATACTTTCTATAATTTATCAGTCTGAAAAGGATCATGAATTATTGATTTATGATTTAAATGATAATTCTAATAAAACTGGACCAATTTCAGCTATAGCTTATTTAAAGTCGAAGAACCTTGAAGATCAAAAAATAGTTTAATCTTTTGTTTATAATTATAAAGAATAACTACATTTATTGAGTTCAGCAGAAGACAAATAAAAATTGCAACACTATATTATAAGAAGATCACCTTAGATTTGTATAGAGAAACAGTCAATTTCATAAAATGTGAATATTTCATTGAAGAATTAAAACTAGGAAAAATTAGTAAATTTAAAATTGAATATTTATTAAAGAGATTCTGATTCTTCTCATTTTAAAATATGGATAATATTGGTGATTGTATTATTTATTGTGATAGTGGGTATATCAGTTATAATATATTGCTAAAAGAAAAGAAGAAGGTTAGTTAAATAGGATTTATTAACAGAGGATTGATTTTCTTTTAATATAAATAAATATTATAAATAAAATAATTTAACATTAGATGGATGTATAATCTCCAGAATAAGTGAATAAATCCCGATCAAACTCAAAATCAAAAATCAATTCTTAAGAATCATCTTAAAATTTGAATTCTCCAAAAGAAATAAAATCAATTGAAAATTTAAGCAAAGAAAACTCATAAATTCATTCTCTTGAGAAAGGCCATTAAGATGTTGAATAAAATGAAGAACTAAATGAACATTAAGAAATATAATAATAACAAGATATAGTACCTTAACAAGTAGAATAGATAAATCAAGAATAACAACAAGATTCTAATTAAAAAAGTTTAGCAAAAAAGAAAAGATAAAGAATATCAATTTTAAATAATAATCATAGAGCATTTAAAGGAAAGGATTAAAAAGTTAGTCAAACTTCTTTTACTTCTTTTTCTCCTGATTCAACTCCAGATCAAATTTCTAATAATAGATAGAGTAAATTTTAAATAACAACTTAAAGACAATTAGAATTAGAGGAATTGGAGAAAAAGGATGAAGCTTTAAGAGTGAAATTAGTAGAATGGTTGAAAACTGAGTTTATGTTTAAGCAAATACATCCATTTGATCTATTCACTGCATTTGATGATCTTAATACAGAGTTTCTATTACGTTAAAGTGAATTAGAATAGGCATTTAAATATATAAATATTGATATTGGTGAAGATAATTATAGAATAATAAACAAATATTATAAAGTTAAAGATGCAGTGAGTACTTTCAAATTATGTTATGATATTGTAGATGATTAACCAGAATTAATGTTAATGGCATTAAATCATATAATCATAAAATATCGTTTATTAATTGAAATATTTTTTGATGAAATTACATAATCTGAAAAGTTATTTACAGCTGATTCTCTAAAATTATTGAATAAAGAATGGGAATGGGGATTTGAAGAAAAGTAAATGTCTATTGTTCATAATTTGATGACTGATTATGGTAATACATCAATGACATTTCAATTATTTAAATAGAAGCTTTAATAATGTCCTTAAGCAGTTGATTCAAAATTAAATTTGGAAATGTACTAATCTTTAGTCAATTTAATAATTTTGGATGATTCTGTTATGACATTTAGTTTATTGTTATAAGATTAAGATCAAGCATCATCTGGAGAAGTTGCTTTATACATATTTACTGATATTTTATCTATGTATATAGATAGAGCTCTATCTAAGATTGAGTTGAATGCTATAAGGATATTTCTTTAAGTTGAAAAAGATGAGGAAGTTGTTGCCTACAATAAATTATTAACAGATGCTCTTAAAATTATAGAAGATTAAAAAACTTTAAGATAATAATAATCTGTCAAAATATAGAAATTTTAATTATAATTAATGTTATTATATTTTAATTCTATTGATAATTTATCCTAGATATAAGAGTAATATTTTAAAGAAAAGAAAAAAATAAGTAAGGATCATTTTATTAAATCAACAATTTAGATAACAAATAATAAGATAGATAAAGAGAGTGCAAATGCTATTTTTTAAATGATATTAGAGAGTAAACTTGATTAGTCAAATTTTAGTATAACTGATCTTGAATTTGATTAATTTATAAAAAAGAAAAAACATGAGTTATCAATATAAGACAAGAATGATTAAATTAATTCTCCTTTAAATTAAGAGTAATTTAAAGAATTATATGAATTGTAAAAGAATTTAAATAAAAAATAATTGAATCGTTTGTCAGTTTAGATTTTATAGAGTCCTAAGTCATCTGATGTATCAAATTAAAATTCACCTGAAAAATTAGATTCTAAGTAAATTTAAGGATAATTAAGTAAATAATCAGAAAAAAAGGAAGGTTTATAAGATTAATTAATAAAATAGGAAGAAAAAGCACAAATATCTACTTAATAATTAAAGATGGATATACATTAATTTTTTGAAGATTTAGACACAATTTAATTGAAATTTTTAACTCAATAATAAATGTTTTTTGGACTTTTAAAATTAGGAATTTTGATTAAAGGTTAAACTTTAATGCAATAAAAATCTTATGATTTAGGAGGATTTGAGAAATTTGTATTGTTGTAATTAAAAACATTTTATAATTCTAAAAAATTAATATATTTATTAAAATAGGAATTTGATTAATATAAAGAATCTGAGACTGATGTTGTTAATATGCAATAATTAAAGTAATAAAAAAATTATATAAAATTAGGTAATTATTTGAAAAAGTAAATTTGAATGTAAAATTTGAAGATGTGATTTTCATTTATTAAACATTAGATACAGAGAGAAGTGGTTATATTAAGTTAGAGGATTTTTTTTATTTGATTCATTAACATCCATTAATTGAATATAGATTAAATGAGTTGCTATTTCGAGTAATTGCTAAATCAAATATTAGATGAAAGGTTATTATGAGAATTCACTTAGAGCACAAAGAATTTTCTATTCAAAAATGCCGTTTAATTATATAAGACCTTTTTCAATCAAAGCAAATCCACCTAGTTATTCTTTTAGATTTAAACCTGATGTATTGGGGAAATTTGAAATTGAATAAAAGGGCAAGGCATGGAATGTCTATAAAATAAAGATTTTATCTGCAGAAGGAATACCATCACCAGAAGATAAGAAAAATTGTTTCAAAAGAGAAGTTGTGGTTGGGATATATGATAAATTTTATAAAGAATATGTAGAAAATACAGTAATAGTGAAAGCTAAGTATTTAGAAGAAAATGAAGATATTTGGGAATTTCCATCTAAAAATAGGAGTAATGGTTTTTTTTTGAATTGTGAGAAAAAATATAATGATTTACATTTAGTTTTGCTATTTGAATTGATAAGTTATTATTTAGAGAATGGTGTAGTATAAAGAGTTAGTTGTGGATTTGTTGAGATACCCTTCTCTCATATTATTTAATAGGGAACCTTTGATCTTCCATTAAAAGGTGGGATCATAGAATAAGAAGTAGCAATAAATAAAGGTGATGTAAGATGTAAAAGAGGAGGATTTGCTAATTTGGCTGCAAAATTAAAGGGAGAAATTTTACCTCATTTAACTATAAGTTCTGCCAAAAGATCTCGTAGACCTGCTTTACTGATAGAATTAGAAACCATGCCTCCATTATGTTTATGTCATAGGAATATGACTTAAATAATATATGCATATAAGAGATTTGCTAGAGATATTTTAGAAGAAGAAGGAGAGGTTTATATATAGTCATTAAATATGTTTCTATTTTCTTTGGATTGTCCCTATATTAATAATAGGATATGCAAATTATGGATTAATACAATTAAAGGAAAGATGATTGGTAAAGAAAAGTTTGTATTTTCTATTCTGATTGGGTAACTACAAAAATTAATGAAGATGAAGGCTTTCAATTTCAATCCATACTCTCCTTAAGAAATCTTTCCTCCAGAAATTGGGAAATTGAAAAAAGAAGTAGTTAAGTCAGTATTACTGAATACAGAATTCTTAATTGATTCATCTTTTGAAAATAAATTAAATTTACAAGGGGATAAGATATTAGAAGAGTAGATTTAGAAGTATGGAGAAATGTAGGAATAAGGAATATTTGATAATGAATAGAATCCTTTTGATCCTTATAAAAATGGATTAAACTTGAAAGGATATGAACCTTACGTAGAATAAATCATATGACTTATAACTCATTTAAGTATTAATGATTATTGTTGTAGTGACATTCTCTTTCTCTATTTCTTTTAGCGATTTTTCCAATAAATAACAAAAAACATTAAAGACAGAATCATAATTGCGAGAAGTAAAAGTATAAGTAAGATCCAGTATCTAATAAATAGAAAATATTCTTACGTAATAGAAGATGATTATACAATATCAAATGATTATACAATCATACTTGCAGAGGAAACTAGATTACTGGCTATCAATACAAATTGTTATTCATGAGCTTCTTCTAAAAATGTAAGTGTTGCATATTCTTCAACTTTATATAAGGATAAATTTTTATTGGATAATTACAATTAAAGTAATAATTATCCATTCTCATCATCTAGAAGGGAAAAGAATTAACTATAAGATTCTGTTATTTCAATTCCTCCAAATTATAATATTATTTCAGTGTTTATATCTAATTTGTATATACAAATAGAATATTAACGAGTGGATTCTTTTTTATATGCTAGTGCTAAGTAATCTTTAACAATTGATGATGGAAACATCAATTTAAAGTCTGAATATCTCTGTATCAATTAGGTTATTATGATTTCTTTAAATAATTCATCTTCAAATCTAACAATCATTTTTAAATGAGCAATTTCTCTAGTCAATAATATCACATTGAAAATTTAATAATTCTTATTAGCTTCTTCTCCACATTTTAAAATTTTATCATAAGTTATCCCTTCATTTATTTTTTCACCTATTAATGCTTCCAAATTACTTTTTGGAGATATTCTAATTACATCATTAATAACAATTAAAGATTTTATGAAATTGTTTTAATATTGGAAATCTTGAACATATATTCCATAATTTAATTCATTCATTAATACTCTTACTAAATTTCCAAATGAATATGTAATAAAACTTTTTACCATAAAATTTGGTTACTTTGATTTATCTACACATGACATCTTAGAAAAACTCAAGAAACTAGGAGAAGCATAATTTATATGCCATGAACATAAACTTGATTGTTCCTCTTCATCAATTGCTTCTAAAAGAATAAAATTAAAATTTTCTAAAATTTCTAATTATAATATCTTTCTAAATATTTTAATAATAATTGGCTAATCTACTAATCTAAAAGAATTACCTTCCTTTATTACCATAGCTATAAATGAATTCCAAAATAATTTTGTGTTACTACTTCCTGTTATAAGTATGATAGGATCTTTGCACCAAACATTTTATGGAGAATATGAAGTCTCAAAATCAAAGAAGAATGGTTGATGTTTTACATAATGTTAATGATCTAAAAACATCAAACTATTATTTGTAAGAATCACT